CTTTTATGTGCAAACGGTATGATTGATTCTGATATTTTGTCTTAAAATCTCGTAAAAAAGATAAATTAGATACTTAATGTATATTCACCGATAGAATTGGTTGGATTATAAATATAGATTATATTAGACAATTATCATATTACATAAGGATGTATTAAACCATTAACCCTTATTTTTTACTATTTGGAAGACTAAACCCTAGAGTTAATGATTTGATATTAGATTTGATTAATATAGCTGTCATGTCATGAAAATGAAACAAGAACTAAAAAATTGAGAAAAGGTTAACTATTGAGGGGGGCATGTATCAACTTTGATTAAAGCAACCAGTGTTAATCTAGCTGCAATCTTTTATGTCACTACACTTAATTCAAGCAGCCCGTGACCCATTTGTTGAGACAGATTAGATTGCATTTGATTTCTATGTTCCCGGTGACTATGGAACTTGCCTGATCAATGAGTCATGGGATTGCACCAATGACAATAATTATGTGTTTAGTTTAAGTTTCGCTTTTGCTTTTCGATTAATCTAGACATTACATGTCAAACAGATTTGACTAAATGGATTAAATTTTTTCTGAAATTTTAAATGATTTGAAAATTGATTTCTGAATTAAAAAATCAGAATCAAAATTGATTTTCTGTAACTTTAATTCATTTAAAATTGGATCCCTTTTTTAGATTTTATAAGGTTTTTCGTCTATTGAGTAAAGACTAAAAACAATTCATTGTAAATTTATTTATGAAAACAATATCAAATAGAGTTAATTAAAAATAAGGTTAAAAGTCTAGAATATTTATCTACTGTTTTATTCGTTTTAATCACTTCCCTCTATTAAAATTTTCAATAATCACATATTTTTATTCTTAATTTACTTCTAAATTTTGTCCCTCTATCTAAATTTTTAGGCAACACCGATAATATTTGGCTTAAGACTAATAAGATGCCGACATATGACATTAAATTTTTCAAAACAATGAAAAAATCTTAAAAAAATCTTAAAATTCTTCTCTTTTTCTCTACCTTTATGTATAGAAATCATCAATAATATTTTAAGTAGCAACCAAATTTAGATTTTTATCCTATTAATTTTTTTTTTTTTTTAGTTTAAAGACTAGTTTCTAGTGACTTGAAGCTTAGAAAAATTAATCCATTTAGTCTACCTATCTAGTCAAACCCGAAGATATATATATATATATATATATATATATGGACCCATAATCATCATGGGCCATGATGTGAGTGCTGTTAAGTGTTAAGCATCAATTAAATAGCATTTTGTCCTCTCAAGCAAACCTGACTGTAGAGAGCAAAATAAATTTTAATTTATTGAATCTTTGTCTTCAACCCTTTCTTATTTTGTTTTGGGCATTTATTTGAGACTTGTTTCTTGTGCAACCAATGGGAAATTGAGAACCGATAGTTATAGTATATAGCAACTCTTGCATTTAAATCATCAATAATATTTTAAGCAGAAAGCAAATTTTTGGATTATTTTTTTTCTTAATGATAAATATATTCTCAACACAATAAATCTTTTTTCAATCGAGTTTTGAATATGCTATTTACAACCGAATTCATGTTTTACTTTAGATTTTTATCATATAATTTTTATTTTATTTTTAAAGATTTAAAATTTAAATAATAACACAAAATATATATGTAATAAAAATTATATATACTTATAAACAAATCCTATTTACCACCTACCCTAATATGTAAAGTTGGATTTCCAAACTTTTAAACTTACTCTATGAATACCGATAATGTTCACTTGGAGAGTTAATTAATAATCACAAAGAATGGCTCAGTGATAGGAGTGTTTGACATCCTATTAGAAGTGCATATTTCAAATCTCATTTTTCACCTTTTTTTTTATCACTGCAAAATTTTATTCTGTTCTCGTAATTGTAAAAATATAAGAGGTTTTAAGACTAATCCGTATCCTCAATTATTTATACAAAAAAGAGTTAATTAATTTTATGTATAATTATAGGAGATATATAATTCACATGTTTCAATTTCAAATATATCTTCCTTGCAAACTTTGTACATGTCCATTTCTCGCTTTCATGCGTGCCATGCACTTTATGTCTTCTTTGCTAAGGTGATATTCTCTAACTTTGTCAGTAAGCCTCGAAGGGTGTGTATCCCTACGACATTCAATGAAATGGGCTAATATTGTACATTGTTGAGGTTCGAGAAAAAGGAAATTATGATCGTGGTGTTTCGTGATTTCTTTCATCAATTAAGATGAAGGGAAGTTGGTTGGTCGATTTAATTTGCTGTGAAATTTTGAAAAGGAAACCTTAACAAAAATTGTGATTTGAAAGATAATCACTCCTAGGGTTAGGAAATAGGGGCTAAAAATGATGACAAGTATTTGTCATCTTGGCAAGAGAGACACACTTAACCTTCTTCTCGCATACTTGCTTTATGACAAAAAAAAGGGCTTTGATGATCGAGGCATGGGTAGTTCACAAGTAGTTCTCTAGCAATCTAAATCTAAATCTAAATCATCAAAGTCTAAAAACTACGTGCGTGTTCCCTAATTTATGTGTGCCAATTCTAGAACTTGGGTCTTTGCAAGTTAGCTTGATGGCCCTAGCTAGCTTTGTACCATTTTTATCATTGTTATTATGCTAAACGTTTCATTTTTTATTTCTTTCGAGATTTAACTCATCTATTTTTTTATATGGTTCAAAGACTTAGATCAATCCATCGCTATTCGGTTTAACATACAAGAAGAGTACAACTATTCAAAATGTTTTCTACATATGCAAAAATTTAAAATAAAAAACAACGACTTAAACGACTATAACTCATTTAGCTAAAATTAATATTCTTAGGTTCAATTCCTTTTTTTTATATATTTATTGGCTTCCTTTTAATTATTTTTGGTTTAAAGTTACAATTTTATTTCACATTTTCATTTGAAATTGGTCCTCTTTTTAATTTAAAAATTACAATTACATGTTTAAATTGACGAAATCCTGCCCAAATGATCTAATTTTAAATGAAAAAAATAGCTAGAACAAATTCAATTCAAAATTAAAAGTTAAAAAACTGAACTTTAAATTTTAACGGAGGTTGGTATGATTTAGTCTTGTTATTAGGGTATTTAATGCATTCAAGTCTTATTCCAATTTGACACACATTTTGGGTTATAATAATATCATGTTAAAATTATTGTGATCACTTCCATTATTGGGAGAGTACAAAAGATCGAGAAGAATCAATAATGCATGCAAAATCGGTGAGGATGCTTACGTGCCCCTAACCAAAGGCATCAGTGGTTAATAAAGCACTATCCAAAATCCATGCAATTTATACGGTAGGTGGCTGCTACAAAGTGTCACCCTGAAATGAAATGAAGTGATCAGTATATTTCTAATCAAAGATTTTCCATGATATTAAAATGAGTACACGAAATACAATATTGTCACTTTTTTTTACCAAAAAAAAAAAAAATCGATTGTGACTTTGATATGATATATAACCAGCTGATGATCTGCATTGCTGCAGTTTTTTTATAGTTTTTTTTTTTTAAATAATAATACATACACAATTCATGATGCTTAATTTACATAAAAGAGTTGTAAGATATTGAAATATATACAAAATATATATTAAATAGGGATCAACTTGTATTAAAAAATAATTATATTAACATTTTAAGTTTGTAGCTTTATCATCGAAGTCATTTGTGTTCAAGAATAAGACTTTGATATTATTAGCTCAAAAAAAAAAAAAAAAATTCACTTACACATTCTATGTGACAGCAAAAAAATTCAAGATAAATCCCTAGATTTTTCAGGAAAAAACAAAAAAGGATAGATTTCTAAAATCTCTCACACGCTTTGTGGGTGACACTAAACAATCTACCTTATGCATAATAAAAATTCTAAATATGAATACAAGTTCTATCCTAGTAAGTATAAAAAAAGCACATAGGTTTAATTCAAGAGAAAAAAATATAATGATAGATTAAAAATACTAATTGTAATTAACAAGAAAAAGAAGCACTGGATATGAATATTTCTCAAACTAAAAAGTTATACTAAATCAATTGAACAAAATTTATAAAAAGAAAGAGAGAGAGAGAAAGATAGAAAAAAAATCCGTTATTAAAAAAATACGAGCAATAAACAAACTAATTTCTATCATAAAAAAAATTATTGACATTAAAGTTCTATCAGCTTTGATATAGAAGTTTGTATTTAAAATTAATACTTGTATAATTAATTTAATTTTTAATAAAAAATATATTTTTATCCCCAACCCTTGAAGGAAATTCCTTTTTTTAACTAAAAGTTTTTATTTTTTATTTTTATAATTTGTCTAAAATTTATATTATCAACTTAAAAAAAATAAAAATCATTCACATTTTTTATATGGAAGTATCTAGATCAAGATAAATCTTAAAATCAAACTCTAATAAATAAATAAATTATATCTCAAAAACTTATCAAAACGTTTGAAATTTAATACACATTAGCGTAGTGAGACGTAACACACACATGTTAATGTATAGGATTTGGTTTTTACAAATTAAACAATATCGATCTCTCGATTTCTGCTTTTTCTTTTTGCCCTTTAGGTTCATGAGATTTTTAGTTCAATTTTTTTTTGAAGTCATTGGACCCTTTTCATTGGTTGAGAAGCAAGATCCACTCAGTTTTCTGGAAAAAAAGGCCAAAGATTTTCAAAGATTTGGGATTTTGGAGCTAGTGTTTTCATATTAAAATTAAATTCTGTAATAGTCGGATCTTAGGATAAATTATGACACGTGTAAGCCATTAAAAAATCTTATAGGATTTTTTTTATTTTTTATTGGGCTATAGCCATTTAGAATCACAAGGCTCAAGCAATCAAATATTCATATTACATAGTTTAGTATTACTTACTATTGGGTTACTAAAATAATAATTAATGTGTGGGTTATCCAAATGGCCCAACCCAAACAGGCCCAACCCAATCATAGAATCTTAGGTTAGACATGCTAGACCCAAACAAGTCTCTTCGAGATCCAGTGTATTGTCGTTGCAATCCTATTCCTCACCGTCGGATTGGGTCCAAATACAAGATACATCCAACGTATGATTTTGCTTGTCCTCTTGTTGATTCTGTACAAGGTATAACTCATGCATTCCGATCGAAATGCTCAATACGACAGGATTCAAGTAGATATTAGAAAAGGTGCTCTTTTGAAATTGCTCTCTCTCCGTTCTCAAATTTCTCCTGGCTTCTGTCTCTCGCTCTCTGATAGCCAACCGACGCGTCACATCCCCTCGCCTTTGGCGGTGGCCGCCTCTCTCCACTTATAAAATCAGGTGGGCAATCAACGCCTCCCTCTTCTTGGTTGAATAGATTGCATATCTTAGGGTTTGTGTCGGGTTAGTTAGTTAGATTCCCAAAAATCGGCTAATTAACGGATTTAATTTCGCTTAAGATCTCAATTTAGTTCTACTCTCCGAAATCACAGACCCTATTTTAGGTTTTCAATTAGAATTTCGAAAATCGCCGTTAGTTTTATTTATTTATTCAATTCGTTTGTCGCAGTTCGATTTCTATATTTCAAGATGCCGGCAACAGCAGGAAGAGTTCGCATGCCGGCGAACAACAGGGTGCACAGTAGTGCGGCCCTGCAGACTCACGGTATATGGCAGAGTGCAATTGGGTACGACCCTTATGCACCTAATAAGGATGACTCCAAAAATCATCTCAGGAGGTTTCCTCCAATGCTGAGCCTGAAGGTGAAAATGCGTATGCCAGCTTTCAGGGTCTCCTGGCGCTTGCCCGTATTACTTCATCCAATGCTGATGAGGTTCGTGGTGCTTGTAAGAGATGTGGTCGTGTTGGCCACCTTGCTTTTCAATGTAGGAATTTTGTGAGTGTTAAGGATGGTGATAAAGAGAAGGATGCGGAAGCAGTTCAGGCTGCAGTTTTGTCTGGGTTGGAGAAGATAAAAAGGAATGGGAAACGTGCAGCTGAGAGTGATGAGAGTGAGGATGATGAAGAAGAGAGTGAGACTTCAGATTCTGAGGTGGATTCGGAGATTGAGCGGATTATTGCTGAAAGGTATGGTAAGAAGAAGAGTAGTAAGGGGAAGTCATCGAGGAAGGAGGAGGGTTCTGATGAGGATGAGTCAGATTCTGATCCTAGGGGGAGGAAGAAGAGAGGAAGGTCAAAGAAAAGGAGTAAGAAGAGGGTGAGTAGTGATTCAGAGGATGAGGATGAGGGTAGGAGGAAGAAGAGAAAGGAGAAAAGGAGGAAGAGGGATGAATCATCTGATGAAGAGGATGAACGGCAACACCGTAAGAGGAAGAGTAGGAAGGAAAAGAGGAGAAGGAGAAGTCATCGGCATTCTGATGATTCTGATTCAGATGGGTCTGAGGATTCTGGTCGAAGGCACAAGCGGAAGAGCAGGAAGGCATCATCTTTACCTGATCCCGATGCCTCTGGCTCTGATGACCCACGGGTTGGAAGAGATACAAAGCATTCTAAGAAGAAGATCAGGAAACGCCGTCATGAAGACGATGAATGATATCTAGCTAAGAAAGGTAACCTCTCATTCTCTAATTTCAAGTCAAACACTCTAGTCATTGTTTTGTTAGTTTATACCTTTTCTTTTTGAACCTGTAGGCATTATGCTGGAAAAGCTTAAACACTCATTGTGTGTTGTGCTTGGTTGCCCCTTTCCTGCACTGTATCTGTTAACGCGTATTTCTTATCTCATACTTTGTTAGTAAAGTGATTTGGTCACTTACTCGAGTGCTTGCTTAGCATATTACTATTTAGGCTCCTATTGATGTTCTTGGCATGCATTTATGAGCAATCAAACTGATGGTATCAGAAGTTTGAGGTGCTTTGGCATTGGCTGGTTTTGATAGGTAGCATACAAATGTCATCGGTGAGTGGATGGAAATGGGGAATAATTTTACTAGGCTGTAAATCAATATGTTATGCATACTGCTGTCTCATCAATGAAAAGCTAATCGTGACCATACAGATTAGCTTGGCTGGTGCATAAAATTTAAATTGTTGGTTGGTGCTTGTAGCTGTTGTGGATGCAGTTGGAGGAAGGAGAAAGTTTCCTTGATGTGCTTAACCCATGTACCAAGTTGAAACATGAGAAATTTGAAGCCTGGATAGATATTGCAGCTGGCCGAAGGGCTACTTTAGATGTGATGTTCCTTTTGTCAGACCTTCAAAGCCCATAGTTCTTTTTGCAATTCCAGATGGCCCACGAGCAACCTCATTTGGTCACCAACATTTTTGTTAGTTATGCATGATCATGTTAGCGTTGCTGCTATGAAGTCTAGAATCTCTGCTACAAATTACATATTAGGATTTTCTTAAAAAACACACACACACACAAATCCATAGTTACACAGTAAGAAAATTTCTGAATTGAATGCTTCCTGCAGGAAAACTCCCAGAAACAGGATGTTCTCTGATGTGAAGACCAGTAACCTGATAATAACACAAGAAAGATATATAAAGCAGCAAGGAGTGTTACAAGGCACATGCACAAAGGGTAATCTTAGAAAAGATTCTGTCACATGGACAAGACTACTGTTGTATTTTCTACAGAGGGGTAAAATCTGGTTCAATGTGATGAGGGCAGTGTCATAATCCTAGTTAATGTATGAATTATCAGCTAGAGAGAGGAGAAAATATCTATTTAATGCTAGCTGCCTCAGAAAATCCTCGTCTTGATAAAACATAGCCATATACGCTGCCCTCAACACATGAACCAGATGCTAAGTTTACTTGATCATTCACTACCATTTCAAATACTCTCTATAGAACCATGTTGTTGAATGAGTTTCAAAGCATGGATTTCCAATGGCATTAATTACTGAACGCACTATCGAATTTTCAAGCTGATTACCAATACATTCTTCAACAGTCAAGAACGAACAGTGCTTGAACACAACAAACGAAAATCTTGAGCACCTCTAATGCTGTCTCAATAATCACATCCATAAAGATTGAACAGGTAATGAACTGATCCATGCTACGGTTTAGCTCCTCCAAGATCTAAAACAAACCCATTATCAGAAAAGTGGATTAAACATCAAGCAATTGCATCAATGTTTGTGTTTTGACGACAGTACCTTTGGAATTTTAAATCCCATAACCGGGATTTTCCTTGAGCTGGGATCCACCAAATGCCGAAGAAATCTAGGTGCTTCAAAAGTTAGGGAATCCATGTCTTCAGAAGCCACAAGGTAGACCTGAAACACATAGGAAATGGCATGAATCATCAAAAACCATTCCATAAGGATAGGTTGGGGAAACCATAGGGAAAGGCATGATTCTGCAACTTTCTAACATAACTATAGGCTTGAATCTAACTGCTCTAGTAAAGCCATCATAGATAGAGATCAGCGCCCATTGTGACAAACCAGGTGACAAATTTTAGACAAGCAGCCAAACGCTGTGTCTTAAAAAACGATAATTCAAAATAAAATGAAATGGACACACTCCAAATGCCATGCACGATGTTATGAACACACTAAAGAACCCAGAACAGTCAAATTATCATGAAGAAGTAAGATACTTGCCTTTCCTGAATTTGCAAGGCGTAGCACACTGTACTTGCTTCTGCTTCCGAAGCTAAGAGCCTATAGAACAAAACGTGTTTCCCAAGTATCAGTCTATTATTTATGTCATGGACGGCCACAAGTTGCACAGACCTACAAAATTTTGCATTTACAAGGAAAAAATTCCATGCACTGAACAAATCCATTAGTAAAAGATCATATGGAACAATTACAGGCATTCCCATGAGTTTTTAAAGTCTTTTGGAGTCATTGTTGTGCTACTCCGTCACCTGTAGAAGCAGATCGAGGAAGACGTGACCTCACCATCACATGTTTTTGTCCAGCAGAAGTAACTGTTTACAATAAACTGAGACTACCGTGGCCGAGATAACTGCAAAGTAGCAGCAAGGAGGAGTGCCAAATAAAGCATAGATCAGACCTTGGCTGTCCATTTACTGAATTTCTCAATGTCTTCCTTAACACCAGACCGAAATGTCAAAACAAGATTTTATAGAATATTTTAGTTTGAAAAAAAATTAAAAAAAAAATGCATTAGTGAGCTGAAAAGCAACAGAAAGGAGGAGTGAATTTTCAAGAAAGATATGAACATATAGGTACCTCCACAGGAGCAGCCAAATCCGCAGTAGCATAAGCCCGCTTTTGAGTAATTGAATTGCAAGTTTGATATGAGAAGAATGATTAATGGCGAAGCAAGCAAAGACTTGCCGTGACTTTGGGACATAAGTGTGTATAAAAGAATGAAAAACTATAACAACATCAATTTTAATTTTTTTTCAATCGAGAATATTAATTTTTTTTTAATTTTAGTATATCAATTTTTTAAAAAATATTAATTGAAAATTTTCATCTACTGATGATATGACATGACAATTAATATAAAAGACTAAAGATATGTTTGATAACCTATTTAAATAGTTTAAAAAATTAAATTGTTATACTTAATATAAAAAATTTATTTGATAATCTAAATAATCTCATATTAAGAAGTTATATTCGGTCAAAATCTACTTAATTAAATAAGTTAAAGTTTATAAGTAGTTTAAATGACTATGTTGCTTTTTTTTTTTTTCTATTCTCAAATTGTTGCTTTGCTTTTTTGTTTTAATTAATAATTAAATAATAATAAGAATTTAGGAGGAGAAAAAATAATATAGTCATTTAATTTTTTTTATTAATTATCACATATCACTAATCAAAAATTGGACGGAAAATTTAATTGATATTTTGAAAAAATTGATATACTGAAATAAAAAAATAAAAGTTGATGTACTCGATTGAGAAAAGGTTCTAAATTGATGTACTTTTTAATGTAGTTTCTTCCACAAATAAACGACGCCGTTTGGTCCTTTCCTTTCACCTTCTCAAGTTAAAGCTACACGTCGTCCGATGCAACTCCCGCCCAGGCATCAACTCCAATATTTCAAAACACTCTCTCTGTAATCTCGATCTCTAGGTATTGACAAGACAAGATCAGTAGATTCTGTCATACTGTTTGTAAGAACCCGTTGAGACTTAGTACTAACCAAACCCAATATAATCATGAGTTCCAAAGCAGGTTCCTTAAAATCTTTCATTTTTTACCACAAACTATGAATGTATTGTTGGAGAAGCAGTAGTAGTCACTTTTTTTTTTTTTTCAGGTGTAGGAAGAAGAGTTGATTTATGGTCAGAAATAATTGCTGAAGAAGAAGAAGGAGGTGGAGGAAGACAATCACTTCAACAACAACAACAACCCATTTACCAAAGGAGGAGAAGAGAACCACCACCCCAAAATCAAATAATCTCGCAAGATGCCAACTTGTAATGTTAAATGATGAAGACTCTTAACTTTATTGCTGTTTCTTGCTTGTTTTCAAGTAAACATTGAAACTTTTCGTGTTTTTGTTTCTGGGTTTTGCAGGAAACAGTTGGAGTTGAAGGATAAAGAGAATAGAGTGAGTTTTGGTGGTGGTGGTCTTGCCACTAAACGTGTCAGTTGGAATCGTTCACTTTCTACCAGGTTAATTCAACTCAATTCCCTCTTTTTAATGAACTATAGATTGTGACTTTTGCTTGTTGATTGTAGTTCTGTTTGGTCTTCCATTGATGGGTTTTGTTTGCTTTTGTAATGAAAGCTTTCAACTTTTGGGTTTATCTCTCTTTCTACCAGGTTAATTCATTCATTTCAATGAAATCCAAGTTGTGGGTTTTGCTTGTTAATTGTGTTTCGTTTGGTTTTATATTGGTGGGTTTTGTGTTTCGTTTGTTTGTTTCAGTTTGATTAGCTGGTGATTGTAGTGAAAGCTTTGGACGTTTGGATTTTTCTCAATTGTATGTGTTGCACTTTTCATTTTTGAGGGGTTGATTAGTAGTGATAATGATAAAAAATTATACGAAGAAAGAGAAAAAAACAGAAGATGAACTATCTTAAATTTCATAGGAGGTGAGAAATTGTAAATAACAAGAAAAAAACTTAAAGAGGATTGTAAGCCATTGGATCGATCTTAATGTGGGACCTGGTGGTGGGTTGCACCAATCTAATGGCTCGTATATATTCTTGAAGTGTTTGGTTTTTGTTGTTTCTTAATGTTTATTATCACTCACATAGGATGTCACTTGTGCTATTCCAGTTTGGAACTGTAAATTATTAGTCTTTGAAGAGAGAGTGTTCTATTACTTGCAAGTACCCTCATTTTCCAGTCTCTTTCTTTTGCACTTTTGTGTGTGCTGTGTGTTACTCATCTAATGCAAGGGAAATCAAGGCTAGTAAATTTTCATCTTTCGAGATGCACTCATATAAATCTTTTTCTCAACCTTAACAAGTATGTCCCTTTTGCTATGGAATTATTTTGCGCTTGACACAGAGGGAGGATAAGTATAGCTGTTGCTGCTTGTGTGGACAATCAGCCTCGACAAAAACAGGCTAGAAAAAAGGGAAAACCACCTGTCCCCAAAGTATATCTCCTTTATTCTTTCCTGCTTCTTTTCATATGTGTTGTTATTACTATTCTGGTTTCTTATAGACTGCAGTTTCTCTTTCAAGTTTCTAGCACTAAAATACTTCTTTTTTCCCTCCGTTCTGGTTCCTCGTAACGTTGGTGCTTTGATTTCTGATGCTTGAAGGGAAAAGCAGCACAACCTCCCAATTTTGAGAAAGAAAAGCAATACTTTGAAGAGGTTGATGCCTTTGAGTTGCTGGAGGAGAGCCCATCTCCCAAAAGCTCTAGTACATGGGCCACAGGCAATGAAACTGATGCAGTTGCTCTGCCACATTTGTCATCAAGATTAGAGAAATGGCTTATTGCAAAGAAGTTAAACTACAGTTGCGGGCCCTCTAGTACACTGTCAAAGATATTAGAAACTCCAACCATGCCTCCCTTGGGACCTATGTGTGACGATGATTTCAACATTATAGATTTGATAACTCCAGAAAAACCTGTTTTGAAGACTAATTCGAAACTGCATTCTGTCCAGAGTGGAATTAAATCATATTTACCAAGTAAAGATGTCTTTGAAAGGAATTCTCTTGCTCAAATGAGCAGTTCTATGTTGGTACGTGATGAGGGTTATGAAGACATTGAAGGTGCAGTTAAGAAACTGTCTTTAGCTTCCACATCTACTTTATCAGATCATGATTACGTGGATCCATTTGCTGCGCTATTGGCAGTATGTGAACAGTCAGTTCCATCAACATTGCTGGAAGTATTCTCCAAATATTGGTTTGTTCTTTTTCCCGACAAGAAGTTCTTACATATGTGTTCATATTGTTTTGACTCACAAGAGGTCATTAACAATGCAATTGCGTGCAAACCTTGTTCATTTTTCTATATTTGTATGAATTTTTATATGAACATGCCATCTAAAAGTAAGAAAAAATGTTGAAAAAAGTGTCTGCAGCTGTTTGGTCCAGGGTTGACTTTTTCAACATTTTTCCTTTCTTGCTGATGGCATGTTCATATTTTTATTTGAACTTTATCTTAGTTCCTTTAATTATTAGTTTCATTTGCTGAAAAATGAAACAGAAGCTTTCTTCAGTTCTGTCTTGGAATCATTAACTTTTGCAGTATGATCTGTAGGAAGTTGTATTGTTGCTATTTTGCATTCACTGAACTGCAATTATAGTGTTGTTGATGTACGATTTAATGTTTGAGTTTATGGATACAATTTATAATTAGGCATCTTCGTTTGAAAACTTATAAATATCTGTTGGCTGTGGCATTTGGAAGACGAAAGTATGATTTTTGAGAGAAGAAATAACACTTATTTTTTTTATGAAAATCGATCAATATATTAAAATGGAAAGAGCCAGCAAGAAAGTGGCTAAAATATGAGTTCAGAATACAAAGAAAATAGACAATCTAAGTGACGTGCTGTCAAAAATAGAACTAAGCTAACTGAAACATCCATGAAAGCTGAACTATCTATTCTAAGGGCCCATGAAATAACACATATTGTGTTCTGAGTTGTCTCATTTAGTGTTTTAGTGTCAGGGAATTCTCTTGGTTACGGCATACTTATTGATTGGAGGTGGTCCGTATAATTTAAGTGATTGATTGATGTGCATGACAACTGCATTCCTGAAGTCAGTAATTCACACATATTTACCTGCCAGACTTTGAGTCATATAACTTATCTTTGCAGTTGTTACACCTTTTGTTTTAGTTCTTGCTTCTTCTTCTTTTACCTTATTTCCTTCTCAACTCTGCAGTGAGTCATATAAATGGAGCTCCGTCATCCTTAAAACTAATGATAACTGAAACTTTACTTATGCAGTGAACCAGAGAATATTGTCAAAGTGGGTGAAGGTACTTATGGAGAAGCATTCAAAGCTGGTAATACTGTCTGTAAAATAGTTCCCATCGATGGTGACTTACTGGTAAATGGAGAAGTACAGAAGGTATTAAACAATAACCACATCTCCAGTTCCAACTTTTCTATGGCAGAGATGTACTCATATCATATCGACACTTTCTTTGTGGATTATTATTGCTGAAACATTTGATTTGCCATGTTCCAGAGATCAGAAGAATTGCTCGAGGAGGTTATCCTTTCTCGAACTCTCAACAATCTCAGATCACATGATGTGGACAATGCTTGCACAACATTCATCGAAACTCTAGAGTATGTGTTCCAAGTGCGGCTAAATTTTTCTGCAACTGCATAGTATCTTCTGAAAACAATAATCTGCAATAGGTTGCTTTCTTTTTAGTACGTTCAGTAGGCTTACATTCTGGAATTGAAGAAATCCATAATGTGTTATGTTTGTTCAATGGCTTTGCTTTGCAAATTGAGCGGAGCAATAGCAATGCCTTGAGCAATTTGGCTAGAAGCTAGATGGACTTGGATTTGCCGAGGGTAGACTCAACTTATGAATAATATGAAAATTCATCTTTGAGTAAATTTACATATCTGCTGTAGTCTAATGCTTTTACCTTTTAGATTTTCTACAGTAGTGATATCTAATGATCTCTTTTTATTCGCAGTCTTAGAGTGTGCCAAGGTCCTTATGATCCTTCCTTGGTTAGAGCGTGGGAATATTGGGATGAAAAGCATGGTTCTGAAAATGATCATCCTAAGGAGTTTCCAGAGAAACAGGTTTTGCATTGGGCCTTTATAGACACGACTGATTGTTGCTTCAAAAAATTCATCCACTTCCTGCACACACAATATGCATGCATGTTTAATATGTATACATTTATATTGAAGTGGCTGAAGTTGCAAAATCCCAAGATGATATCAGCGCTGCAAGTTTCCAGATTAATGTTTATAGGTTTGCTTACCATGCCTAATGAATTTGTGCAGTGCTACGTGGTGTTTGTACTGCAACATGGTGGGAAGGACCTTGAAAGCTTTGTGCTCTTAAATTTTGACGAAGTACAGAGTTTATTGGTTCAGGTAATGATGCACATTTACTTTAGCATTTTCAGTCAATTCTTCCCTGAGCTGCCACCTTCAAGTTTTACTGGGTCTATCGTGCTTTGCAGGTTACAGCTGGCCTAGCTATTGCAGAAGCTGCATATGAATTTGAGCACCGTGACCTGCACTGGTTTGTTGTTTCTGCAATTAAATAATATTATGTTTTTTCTTGCATGGGTGCTGATTGAGGACCTTTTATGTTGCAGGGGAAACATTCTTTTGCGTCGAAATGACTCTGCTATGGTGCAGTTTATCCTGGAGGGGAAGAAAATGATTTTCAGAACTTCAGGATTATTGATATCAATAATCGATTTTACTCTGTCCAGAATTAATACAGGTGCAAGGTCTTTTGTTTTTCTTAATGTTATTCTCATAAATGTGTAAATTCATACTTGTTTCATGTTAACCGAACAAATTTTTATTTGCACAGGTCAAGATATACTCTTCCTGGACCTAACCTCAGACCCTTATCTCTTTAAGGGTCCGAAAGGAGATAGACAGGCAAGAACTGCAATGCAAGTTGTATGTCCTGTTTATTTCCGAATATTGGCTAATTGATTCCCAACATCATGTGCAGGCAGAAACATATAGGAAGATGAAGGAAGTAACTGAAGATTTGTGGGAAGGAAGGTAATATTGTTGATAGTTTTTCATCTTTCTTGAACGCATAAGAGGAACATGCTGGTGTTAGTTACTCTACTTCATTTACTCATAAGGCGTCAGATTTGAAACATTTAAAATCGAGGCCAATTCACCTGACATAACTGCAGCACTATTAGTGTAAAATGTACTCAACTGCAGCACTAATTTGTACCTGATATGTTGCATATGTGATTTCATCGATGTTATATCACAAGCAATCACATGTTCCTCTACAAGCGTAGATCGCCTTTTGGAGAAATGCATTCAAGTCATTTTTACCATTGTTTGGTTATTGGAGAGATGGTATGACTGTTTTCTCTCATTTTCTACAGCTTCCCCAAGACAAATGTATTGTGGTTGCTATACTTGGTGGACATATTGCTCCTGAAAAAATCTTTTGTAAGTCTCTCCTTTTCTAGTGACTAGGAAACAAATTATATTGTCGATTTATCAAATTCACCACATTTTGTTTCTTTCACTGTTTGTTGATCTTAATTTTTAATAAAAGCACCTCGTAACAGTGTATAGCATAGACAAGGCTGTTAAAAATTTTTTCATATATTGAAAGCTCATATGTTCCAGAAAGAAACACAAATTTTGTTGCATCCTAATACAACCATTTCAACTGTAATGTTTAGATTTTTATGTGCTTAACTTACCGTTAACTTGATGTCAGGATCGCTCTTCAAAAGATGAGAGAGATTTGCGCTCGTTGAAAAAGCGTCTCAGCAAGTATAATTCAGCTAAAGAAGCTATTATTTCGGATCCCTTCTTCTGCGACTTGCTTGTGGTGTAAATAAAATGTTCAGATCATCAGATGTGATTACTTATGTAGGATAATAACTCCTTTCTTGCATATTTCTAGGGGGTAGGTTAGATAATCGTGCAAAATGAATTGAAAGAAGGCATATGGAATCGCAATTTTTTGTAAATTATAACATAGATGCTAGTTATGACTCACAACTACAGCATCTTGTGATGATTGGAGGATATGACTAACAAAAGCTTTTGCCATAACTCTACAGAACACATGTACGTACCATGGCAATTGTGCCAGTAACACAGGAAATGAGAGTTCATGTCATGGCTTTGAACTTCACTAAATTGATATAATCTTTATCTGGCTGTGGATGGCATGTTAGGCTGTCCAATGCTTATATTTTGTCTTTTCAGTCACTTTGAAATAAAGTCTGAATGCTGAATCACTTGACTGTGTTGTTCATCCTCAATGAATTGATGGGTTTCAGATTGCACCTCTCTAGGGATATTTTAGTGGAGTATATCTATAGTTCTTTTGCTTTCAGTAAATGTGACTCATATCAACATCAAATGCTGCTTTCTAGTTGATAAGAAGGAATAACAACCTTTGTATTAGCATTAGACGACAGATGGTTAATCTTCCTAGTCTAATTCAACTTAAGAATACTCGTTTTGGCTTGTTCTTTTTTATTCTTAGTCCTTTAGAATTGGCCTTCACATGCTCTGCAATTAAGGCATGTGTTTGATTAATAGAGGGTTATGAACATGATGCTGTATTATTGTGATAAAGCAGAAATCATTGATGAAGGGAATTATAAATTTTCTTGCCGATAGCCAAGTGCAAGTAACTCTTGACATCTTTTGAGCAAAAATCTATAACAATAATGCAGCAACAGGAAAGGGATATTCTCTGGATTTGTAGGGTTTAACACTCCTTTCATAAAGAAGAAGCCTGTTAATAAACTAAAGGGACTCTCTCTCATTCTCAAATGTTATATTTTCATGAACTGCCTGCAACTTGCTCTTTTTGAAGCTTTTTGGCGTGCACGGACGCCGACACGGTGCAGCAAATGACATCACGCAAGATTGTTGCCCTAATAACAAAAGATACTTTAGCTTTTTAGTCTGTCTTTCTTCTCCCTTTCTTTCATCATATGCTAAAATATGTCCACTGGCTGCCCAAAAACAGTACTTGAAAGAAAACGGTAAGAAATTGAAAGATGAGAGATGCACTACTTTCTATCTTCTAACCAGAAATCGTCATGGTATGTTCCAAAAGGTGTGGACACACACAAGGTGATAAAATTCCATTAATTAGCACTTCTTTTCTTTTAAATCTCTGATTCTATGGCAGTAAATGACTCGAAATGTGAGAATCAATGATAGGCTGATTATTACTCTTAATGACTCGAAATGTGAGAATCAATGATAGGCTGATTATTACTCTTAGTAGAACCCAGGTTTCTTATGCTTTGTTGACGGAGTTTGATATGACACTGATTATATCCTTCAATTACGAAGTGACGAAACAAAATCAGAAAAAGCTAGCATAGCAAATTGATATTGAAAGTGCCGATATCTCTTTTAGGGTTTTTTTTTTTTTGGCTCTTTATCTTCTCTTTTTCTTTCTTCTTTCGTTTTCTTTTTCTTTCAACAGGATTCATGCATGGATTCCTGTTTTCTATCAAGCTTATCACCAGCAATAGGTATGACTGCCTTCTAATGTGCTTGCTTTCGGCTGTGAAGTGTGACCTAGTCAGACAAGCTGCTTTTGAAATCATCAATGCTTGAAAGGAGAGAAGCACAATACGTTCTTCCACATGGGTTGTCCCTATCAATAGTATATATATATATATATATATAACCCATAGAAAGTGGCACTAATAATGTAGTTACAAAGGTAAATGCACCAGTAATATACCGACCATAGAACTGTGTAAAGCCTTAGGTTTTCTACTTCCTTGCTTATGATTCCGGCGTTTCTTACACATATGGTCCCTCTACAATATGGATTTGATTAACTAGATCCCTCTACTACTGATGTGATTAATGATGTCCCTTTATACTAACTTCCCTTTACAATTAGGACCTTTGTTCTATAACGATGTCAGGAATGTCTACAAGAATGAGAAAATTATAAGCGTTTTTTCCATTTTAGATGGAAACGTGCCACACGATTACCAAAAATCATGTAACATAGAGGGACTGCATTCATCAAATTATTAGTAGGGGGATCTGATTAATCAAACTTCTTTAGTGGAGGGATCACTAGTGTAATCAAACCGACAATTCTACTACTTGGTACATGTATAAGTGTTTGCAGCTTATGTAAATGCATGCTCATATGTTCCTTTACAGGATGTTTTACTTCCTACGATATAGGATGACCATTATTAGTTTAAAATCAAAAAAATCAAACTGAACCAAATCGAATTAGTAATTGTGGTTTGGTTTTATAGAAAAGTTTGAAACAAATCAAAAACCAAAAAGTATTTTAATTCGGTTTTTTTTTTTTAAATTCGATTTTCATCGAAAATTGAATTAGTGTTTTTTTTTTAATATATCCTTCCGAAACTCATAGCATTTTTCTATGATTTTGTTTTGCTAAAACTTCAATTTAAGCTATCAGCATTCCTTGAAAATCAACAAAACATTACAAAAAAGTGACTTTTCAGTTTGGTTTAAAAGAAAATTCAAAATTTTTTTAAAAAAAAAGTAAAAAAAATCCGTTTTTAATCGAAAAATTGAACTTCAATTCAATTCGGTTTCAATTTTTATTTTTATCAATTCAATTAATGGAAAAGTGAAGAAAAAAATGAAACTAAATTGAAAAATCTAATAATCACCGCTAGTGATGGCTTAGATAAATAAAATTGATATCTTATTCTAGAAGAAACTGCCTAAAAAACATGTTGAGATGTTAGGCCTAATCCAAAGCCTCTTTTTGGCCCTAGAATTTTTCATTACCTTATAATTAAGATTAAATAAAATTATTTTATGGGATCTGCTGAGCTTACCAAATTTGACTTTGATGCTCCCCTTTTACGTTGTCCAACCAATTTCAAATCCCTAAGGTTCTGTTAAGATAGGGTAATGGATGCTGACAGCACCAGGACATTCCCTTCTTGGCTTAGTCCCAACTAAACTTTCAGGCATTTTTTGACCCACTTAGCGATTCTTGATTCTTTTATCATCTTTTTGAAAAACTAATCGCCATTTTCTCATTAGGTTAATATATCCGAATATTTTACCTGTCTGCTCAGGTTCTGCAGAGAGAATCTCAACAAATATAGTAAAGAAAATTTAAGCTTGTTAAAAACTGTCAGTAAAAAGCAATGGCATAAAACAATTAAGCTTTGTTGGACAGTGCAACATTGATGGATTCAAGAGCAATGGAATACATTTTACTGTGGTAATTAATGCACAGCAAAGCATTTATGAGGGCAAATAGATCAGGGCATGTCTTCCCATCCCTGTATTTTGCAAACCCTTTTGAGACAAGTAGACAAAGGCATGAGATCTTTGCTTGTATTTGTACGATGGAACATGCATGTGAGCATATCCTATGGAATTTGTCTTGGTGTGAATATGAGGAAGGTGCTTTATATTTTGGGCCAAATTGTTTTTGGGAAAGATAAAGAAGCTAAAAAAGCAGTGGTTGATGACATGATTCTCTCTACTGTTGAGAGAAACAGAGCATTTTCCAGCCCTATCCTTCATGACAAAGTAACATCTTTCCTCTATCATTACATGTAACTTAGTCATCTTCCCTTTAACTTTTGTTCTCTCTTTTCTCTCCTAACCTTTTATCTACAGCGCCCTTTCTCCTTCTATATCTCTCCCAATATTCTATAAGCATTTTCTTTTAAACAACACTGCTCTTGTGTGAATCTCATTAAAAATCCATAGGGTCCTCCTCCTAAAACCCAGAAAACACCTCTCATTATAATGGCCAAAGTAGCATCAAAGTGCCTCTTCTTATTCTTCTGTTCCCTTCTCACTGTTAGCTCTTCTGGTAAGTATCTATTACTGTTTGCTCACACTTTAGTTTTTCTTTTAATTCGGTGCAAAGAAGAGTTTAGCCTGCCCCACTTATTTAAAGCTACATGTGATTTGTTATTTCTTTCTAGTTATCTTCGCATATTCATTGTTAACCAGAAGAACTAGCTCCTTGAATCCATGGATGAGCTTAAATGCTTTGGAGTTTGGATCTTTGTTGAATTAGATCTTTTGTTGTTTCTATGTTACAGGAACTCTAGTGGGTTTCTCCTACAATGCCAGAGGAATCACTGCAGCTTCTTCGCTTAGCAGAACAGTATCATTCCTTGAGCTAAACAAGGTCTCTGCAAGTCATATTAGGGTTTTCGCTGCAGATCAAGGGGTTTTGACTACACTTTCCAAATTTAATGTGCCTGTTGATCTTTATTTAGATGACAACTTGGTTGAGAATTTGATAATTTCTAAGCCATCTGCTATTTCTTGGCTTAAGACCCAAATAGGGACCTTTCTACCCCATGTGAACATCAAAAGCATCATTGTACATGGCAACAAAGACTTGTCAAAGCTTTTATCCACCATGAAATCAATCCATTCAGCCCTCAATAGTATTCGTGTTGACAATGAAGTTAAGGTCTCAGTAGCATTTTCATTGTCGTTCTTAGAAAATTTGAATAGAACACAAGAAAATGACCTCCGTAGGATTTTGGGATTTGTCAAAAGATCTAGGTCTTTTGTCATTGTAGAAATCAGTATTGATATCGATGTAGAACTGGGCATGAAAGATCTTTTTATTCAATCAATGATCCAAAAGGTTACAGTTGCCACTTCTCTACTTTCTCCCCATGATGTTCCCATAGTTATGACAATCAAGAGCCTTGCTATTCCCAGTGCACAAGAAGTAGCTGAATTTGGAGATAGGGTTTCAAAATCCTTAGAAAACACTAAGATCACAGGTCAGGTAGCTGGGTTGTATGCAGAGGTATCTTCTGTAGAAGATTTCGTGGAAAAAGAGCTGAAGAGGGAACATGAACAAATCTTTCCTTCATCTCGGAGAGAACTCTTAAGAAACTTCAAAATTACTTTACATGATGATGTAATTAACACGCCAACAGTTTTTCCAACAAATCCTGGATCATCACCACCAGGGACTCTCCTGCCAGAAACTCCAACACCAACCATAGTCACTGTCCCTGCTACCAATCCTGCCAATCCAGTCACTGGAACACCTACCAATCCTGTATCTACTCCGTTACCTGTCAATGGCCCCCCTACAAGTCCTTCCGTCAATCCACCAGCACCAATTAGTAATCCAGTCACAACACCAGCACCTATTACAGTTCCAGGAGCACAACCAGTAACTAATCCTGTGACAGCATATCCACCTCCAGCAGGCAATGTTCCAGTCACAAATCCTATGGCACCTCCTGCACCAGTAACAAATCCTGTGGCACCTCCTGCACCAGTCACAAATCCTGTGGCACCTCCCGCAACAACAAATGCTCCAGCAATTCCAGGACAGAGCTGGTGTGTGGCCAAGTCCGGAGTGACGGAGACAGCACTTCAGTCGGCATTGGATTACGCATGTGGAATGGGAGGTGCTGATTGTTCACAGATCCAGCAAGGTGGGAACTGTTACAATCCAAACTCTCTTCAAAACCATGCTTCGTATGCATTCAACAGCTATTATCAGAAGAATCCTGCGGCAACCAGCTGTGATTTCGGAGGGGCAGCCGCTATAGTGAATGCGAATCCAAGTAAGAAATCTAATTGACTCACAGATGTGGTATGTGCTTAATATTAATGTTCCGAATATTCTCGGACTCACATAACATGGAAACAGGCACCGGTTCCTGCATTTATCCATCATCAGCATCTTCATCAGGCACTCCATCTGTGCCAGCACCAGCAACTTCATCTGCAAATCCAGCAACAACATCACCGGGGACTGGCGTGTCAGGGTAATTTCTTCATCATCCCTGACTTTGAGACTCCTCACTGCAAGTTCAATAAATCAAAAACTAACACTCTGATTTCTGCAGCACTACACCATCAGTTATGAACTCATCAACGAACCCTGCCTCAGGTTTTGGGCTCGACTCTCCTCCCGTTCTCAGCCCTCCAGCATCCAAGTCAGCTACTTTGCAGCCATTTATTGGTTTTGCCATTTTCCTAACATCATTTGTTGCCAGAACAATCATTCTAGACATGTAGGAGGACAAATATGTTTGTTTACACCAATGGGGTGGAAGCTCATGCTTTCAGCAGAAAGATCAGAATTGCAGCAGTTTCCAAGTTCTGTACAGAACCATCTTTGATAGAAAAGAAACTGGAGGAAAGTTCCACAAGAATGCATTACAACACCAGGATCCTGATAACATTTTCTGACTGGCCGGAGGTTGTGCAGAATGTAAAGACTTTACTGCTGAAGGTACAAATCAATTTCTACATGAAACATAATTACATTTTAATATTAGGCTGCAAGTAGTGAAAGGTAGTGAGGTTGGATAGTACTAGTTGCACAATGGCAATTTTGTTCTTGTATATTTTCACAAAGTTGCCGAATTTGTAGTCTAGAGATTCTGAGTAATCTAGTTAAATAATTCACATCGATGATCACTTATTGTTAGCATCTTTTTATCTGATGGCTGGGTGCATGATTCGGGCAGTGATACAAGAAGTTTGTTTCATGAGCATGCATACCTAAAGTTTAGTTCTTACCTTTATAGGGTAAAATGTTTTTGATAGAAGGTGGATCTACTTCCCACATTTTCATCTAAGGTTCAAATCCTATCAATCCGAACATGAATAACCTGCTTAAAACTAGACTAGAAAAAGACTTGGCCTTTGTGTATGCAAAATGACTTCTATAGGGTGAAATACGTCACATGATTGATGAAAAATTTTCCTGGATGTCAAAATCACCGTGACTTCATTGACAAACACCAAATTTACACCTTTTTTTTTTTTTTTTTCCAAATGAGAGGTTCGAACTCGAGATTTTATGGTAGAAGAGAGAGCACCAATACCAGTTAAACTACTACTCATTGGTCAAATTTAGGTGAAATTTATACATGTTAATATATCTCCTATGATGCTCTAGTCATTTGATTTCCATTCCAAAGAGATAACAATGCTTGTTCAGTAAAAATTAGTCAAAAAGCTCATCCTACATTTCTTGACAAAACTATAGAGGGGAACCCCACCAGTCTTAATCATGCTAGGTGATGGATAGAGGTTTGTAATAGCATCTCCTAACGGCTAACATAATTAGAAAGGACCGTCCTAGGATGCCCAAATGCAATGACAAATCAACGTTTACAATATGCACCGTTGCACCAAACATTTGACTGCTGTTAGGAAACAGCATCAGCAAGCTTATAGTTCAAGCAAATGACATATTCTGTTGGTAGCACAATCCCTTCTGTCCCCACAACACTAATAATGTCCTGGTTGGCAGCAACCACTAAAAAAAAAAACCCTAGATTTTAATGCAAGAAAGATGGCAGAATTGACAAAAAGCAGGTCGTTATAATGCTATCCAGCTGGTAAAATCAATGACATGATAACATCGAAGACAATCTTTTTTAAGGGATAGGTTCAAATATGGAAGCCAAATGGCTGTACATAGATTTAAAACGTACAGCATAACTAGAGGAATATAGTTCTAACGAGAACACCAAAAATACACCTTTGGCTAGACTACACAGGGTGAATACTCCACCCTAGGCTATTTCTACAAGCTAAATGGCTTCTACAAACTTATGATAACAAGACATTTACAACAATTTTGCCTATTGTTTCATCGCTTTGAGAACACGACTAAGATTAACATTGACATAGAAACTACAAGCTTGAAGCTAGATGTCTCCCAGAAATTTTGCTTTTCATTATTTCCCTCGGGTACAGCCTGCTGTTTCGCTGCTAACTGAGCTCGGAGTTCTTTCAGAGCTCTGTCCCTTCGCTCTCCCATCTGTTATAATGAATAGAAACAACTAAATAACAGTACATGAAAGTGCAATCTGGCAGCAGAAATAACTCGAGCTTATTGAAAGAACATGACCACCAAAAACAACAGGGCAAAAAAAAAAAAAAAGGGACAGGTCTAACATGAACAAATTAATTTCTCTACTGGGATAGAGATAGAAGAGCACAACAATAACCACACAAAAAGAGTATAATGCTGTGGACCATTCAATTGATTTGAACCTAAATGACTCCCACGTGTCAAAATGCAGCTACTTAGGATGCATTGATGTGGTTCACCTAGTTGATGAAAAAACTAAATATTGCATGGAGGCATCTAAACAATTTTAAGCATGATGCTCTTCTGATATGCAAAATGACAGGAAAAGCCAACAACACACAGGAGGAAGTCTCATTCACAGCAGTCAATGCAACCATCCTGTTCCACTCAATAGAGTGATGACAAAAAATTACCCGCTGGAGCTTTCGTGTCTGAGCACGAGCTTCCTGAAGACAGAATTCCAACTTCAACACCCTCTTCTTCAATTCTTGATCAGCTCGTCGTTGTTTCTCTAACTGCCAACAAACAGGTTGAATCTCATAAATTCCCAGGTCCATGGACCTTAATGAAAATAGAATTGAAGAGGTTAAAAGAAATGGCTAAAGATGGATGCACCTGTGATTCTAATTCCTTGGTTTTAAGCTTCCAGTGAGCAGACATAACTCTTATTTCATCTTTCAGTTTGGCTATTTCTTCATCCTTAACAACCAAAAGTTTATTCATCTTGTCAAAGTTTTTAGGAGAAACTTCATCTAATAATTTTCTCAGTTCACACTCTTTACTATCTCCTGCCTGGGAAATAGCTTGCATGATGTCATGCTCAATTCTCATAACTTCATCTTTCAGTTGCTTTTGGGAAGATTCCCTTGCTTCAAGATCCTTCTGCAAATTATCTAATTGCTCACCTAGCCTAGTTACGCGCTCTTCATGCTCTTTTAACGAGCTATTCTTTGCATCTAATTCCTTTATCAGTGATAAACATTGAAGCTGTGCTGACTGAGCTGAGGCAGCACTTGCATCTGCAGTTGCTTGCGTGACTGCAAGTTGTGATCTGAGACCATCCAACTCTGTGAGGTACTGTGACCAATTAAAAGATAAAAATAAGACTAACTGAATTTGCAATGAGCGAGAACCTTGCAGAGGATTAAATATGAAAATGGAAAGTGTTCCAAATCCAGAGATGGTTATATTGCAACTCATACAGTAACAAAACTTCCAATGAGAGATCTCCATTAAATGTTCTTTAAAACTCATCCAAATATCTGAGAGGTGAATGTATGTTAGTTCCAAGATGCATAAAAACTTTAAGATGACACCATGTTGTAAAAGTCAAAAGGTTGTCTTGAGCAAGGAACACAGATTTTTTTTTTCTTTTGTCTTCCAATTCTTCAATGATTCATCCAGTCAAGATAAATTGATTCATCTGTGTTTTCTGAAAATTAACATACTAGGATGTGCTAGGAGGTGAGCACCAGTACATAAATGCATGCAAGTTACCCCATAGAAGAAATTAATAATGGTTGATGGACTTGTTAAAATAAATTGACTCGTATTTTCTGCACCGTGACATACTAGTAGGTGCCAGGAGGTGAGTACCAATACATAAATGCATGCAAATTAACCCCATATAAGAAATTAATAATGATTGCTTGAAGATTAACTTGTTACAAAATGATGGATGCTTAAAAATGGTATCAGATCTAGAAACTCCTACTGTCTAAAATAAGTCTTTAATAATGCGGATAGTTCTAAAGAATGATATGCTCTAGAACACATTAATAAGCTACTGTACTCTTTATATGATATCATAAATCAATGCACAAAAGCCAAAGAGGTTTACCACTTTTAGTCAATTGCCCAGATATAGCATCTCGCATCTGTGTTACCATCAATTTCCTAATGTTGGTCCTCTATCCTTGACTTTCATCTTTTCCTTTAGAAGCATTCTATGACTCTGGAGTACATTACTAACTTATGAAAGTCTCAATGAAACCCTTTTGCAAGGTATGTCCCATGTACTCTTATGATATGTCAAAAAGTAAAGAGGCAATTACAGTATGCTTGCCTAGGTAACTGGAAAGTTAAATTTGATTCTATCTACTAACAAGGTGGCAATGCCATCAAGTGCAAACTAGATGGCTTCTTTTTACGTGACAGCTTACCAGACATGGATGGTAGTTTTAAAAACCTCAATTGCTTTCCATCCATGACAAGAATAGACAAACACAAATAAACAGGCGACCTATATATGCACAAAAGGTGATCTCCTTACTTTTCCTTTTGCGGTGGGGCATAAAAGAGAATAAAAGATCAGCCCAACATTAATTGGTTTGTTCTGGCATCTTATCACTCGTCTCTCCAAGTTTTACTGCAATGGTGCTGATGTGCAGGGATCCGAACTCCCAAGATTATTTGGTATGAAGTCACCACCATTTTACATAGTCATTCATTTGGGATTTATTTGGAAGAAATCACCAAAATAGTTGGGGCAGAGGTCATAAAGTAAGTCACGACATAGATCTTGTGATAGTTTAATGATTCCAAGAATGACCATCAACTTCAAATTTGTTAAGGAGGTATTTCATTTATAGTTCAACTATACCTCCAAGAATTAAATATGAAATCTACTTGATTTCTTTAAATTTCATAGTCAATTAAAGTTTCTAATGCAGCCCCATCAAGAATCATGGCAATCAATACATAGCCCTACGAAAGTGCTAGCTAAACTAAATGATAGTTTGACACCAACAAAACTAAGCATTTTTGTCTTAAGACTATCCTAAACAAATTGCAGGAAGCTGTTTTGACCACCTGTTTGGTAAAATCCATAATTGTGCAAAAATAAAAACAGAAGAAGTTGGGCTGCCCGGCAACAACACAACAAAAAGTTCTCTTAAATCATTCGAGCTAATAGATAACAATGGGGGACAACAATATAAAATCGAAACACCCCCGTGACCCCCTTACGGCTCCACCAAAAAAACAAATGGAAAAGGCCAAAAAGGTCTAGAGGCATCCAAAAGGATGAGTATCAGATTCGTGGATTATGTGTGAAGATGCATAGAAAAAAACAACCTTACAGCCCAGATCAACCTAGTATGTATGGCAAATAACTCAATATGATTAGTAATCGTGTTTGAATTTCAAATCATCAAACAATAGCAAACCACACACAGAATCAAAGGCAACTTAACAGTAAAGTCAAAAGCGGAGATGTTGAGGGGGACCTTCTCAGCAGCAGAAGCTGAAGACTGAAGCTGGTCATTCCTCTCTTCCAATCTCTCCTGCAATCTACTAATCTCCTCTTCCATGGTTTTTGCCTTATTTTCTGCTTCCTGTTAAAAACCCAAAAAAACACACGAACACTGATTAATTAACTCCAACAATAAACAAAACCCTAAAGACCCTACAATCAAAAGGAACCCAAAAAGAACGAAAATAATGATTAAATCTAAAGAACTAAAAAAAAACCATACAAAAAGTAGCCAAACACAGAAATCAATTACCTGTCTGGTTATAGTTTCTTTAGCAAATGATTGCTCTTGAGATGCAAGGCGGTTACGTACTTCCTTTAACTCAGCAGCTAAAGAAACAACATTTTTCCTAAAACTTTGCTTCTTCTCATTTAAATCCTTCAATAAAGGATCAATCTCTCTAACGGAAGTAGATTTCTCCGAAACTGACATCAGTACTTGATGGTGATTTTGATCGAACAGCAATTTCACTGAATCTTTGCTCAAAGATCTGATACAGATAACACGTGCATGCACTAAATCAAAACTTGCTTTCTGAAAAGGGGAAAAAATCAAAACTTAATGATTTGGTCTACGCAGTGCTTGCAGTGAAAGCTATGGCCTTTGGTGCCTGCATGTGAAAACATTTAATTTGAAGGATACCCCAACTGTCCAAATCCATAAATAAATTCTGTAATAAATCGTAAATACTATCCACAAGTCTAGGCCAAGAAAAATAAAAAAAATTGAAATCTATTATTTTATTTTATATGGCACAAAATAATGCATATTCTCTCAACCAAACTTATAATGGGGAGAGAGAGAGAGGAGCAGAGAGACAGAGAAACACGTAAAGGGTGTGTCACTTTGAACGAATAAAATAAATATAGAGAGAGAGAGAGAGAGAGAGATGCGAGAATCAAAGGAGGGTCTGCTTAAAAGATTCAAACTTTAAGATTTAAGCAACCCAACAAGAGTAATACAGTAAAAGTTTCTGGGAAAATTTGAATTCAAAGAAAATTTCACACACCAGAAACCAAACACTCAGAGCTCAAAAGGGTCTCTGCAAAGAAATGAACTTTCTTTCAAAAAAACTAATCCTTAGCCACAAGAGAGAGATCACTAAAAAACATGTTTGAGTAACATAACCAGACAAAAGAAAGAAAACCCACCCACCAGGCACCAGCAGAAAGAGAAAGGATAGAAGAGAAATGACATGGAAAATATTTTGGCAAGCTTGAGTTTTTGTTATTGCCATGTATGGAAGATCTAACGGTGGTCGTTGGGAATTGGATATGATCAGACGGAGAGCATCAATTTAGGGTTTTGTTTATTTGTCATTTAGAGCAAGTGAGAAAATAAATCCAATCAAATCAAAGCTGTTTTATTTATTATTATTTTGGGCAAAAACATGTCTGAAACACAGACAAGCTAGAGAGAGACAGCCACGGAGAGCTTAGGTTCGGAGTGAATCCGAGCCTTGGGTTTGGTGAAATGACAAATTCCGAACCCAAACAGGTGTTTTCCATTTTACTCTTGGATCCACGTTTGACTTTCAGCGCGGCAAATCCAAATTTTTTGCTAAACTGTTGTCATTGTGCCACGTGGATGTGTGGTGGCCGTAGGTTTTGATGTAGCCTGACTGTTTTACCGATGGGCCTTGAATCATGGGTCTTACTCTTCGGTATGGGCTTGAATGATGGGTTTTACGAGCATTGATTTAGTTTTTCACCAGAAAGATCAAATTAATGTGCATATATTATTATCAAAGTACTCTAATTTTATTTGAAAAACATGAGGGTAGTGTGTGTGTTCCTTTTTCTAAATATTATTTTAATCATTTGATTTCCAATAAAAATCAAATTTAGAATTAAAAAAAAAAAAACATGATTCAGGAAGGCAAGTTCATGTATGTCTGGATTTGATAGACTAGGCCCTCGCACTTGGCTTTTTATTAATTTAAAAAAAAAAAAAAAAAAAAAAAAAAAAAAACCTAAGCCAATACGGCATCATTCTTCTAGGTTGCAATCTCTTTTTCTCGATATGTCCAAGTTTGTCAAAAAAATTTATAATACTTAATGGGTAATTAAAGTAAATTATTTCATAAAAAAAAGATAAACACAAAAAGAAAAGAGAAATAAAAGAGCGAAACAAATTGAGCAAATAGAGAAATCTTCATGTCACTTTTAATAGATCAAATGTAATTCTTTTTTTTTTTATCTCTCTCCTAAAAAGTAGATACATAAAATAACTAATGTATATATATATATTAATTACTTTTTAAGTATTATAAAATTTCTCGAGTACAATCAGCCAACTCTCATGTATGAATGCCAATGGCAACAATTTTCCATCAATTCTTTGTATCGATGCAATTGAGGCAAAAAGTTAATAAAAAAATGATTCTCGTCTATTTTTTGGAAAAAAATGGTTAATTTTTATTACCAATTTTGGTATTCAAAACTCATTTTGTCCGTCATTTTTCACATCAAATGCCTCAAAATCATTCTACAATCTCCCAATTACTAATTTCTAATCTCAAAATGCATCTTAATCAACTAAAACTATTCAAAAATAAATAAATAAAATAAATAAACATTTATTTTCTCAAGCTTTAATCTATCATTATTTACCATGTCATGAACGCCATCACTAAAATTCTATTGTCAGGATGAATTCGATGGCATCAATGCTGAAGATTTTTTTATAAACAAGTAAGAATGCTTTTAGTTTTCTCTATTCTCTATTTCTTTCGTTGTTGCTCTCTCCTCTCTCAACACCTAAGAACTATATTACAAGATAAATGAAGTTTAGAGACCGAGCCATGCAAACTTCACAATTTGAAATGCATTTATTATTTGATAATTAAAATTATTTTAAAAAATCACTTGTTTTATGAGAAATTCGTACTTTGTATAATAAATAGCATTTTCTATGGAGTTTTCGTATAGTAATATACCAAAAAGTTATATACAATAGAAAAAAGAAAATACCTAGTGACACCATTTCAAAAAATAGAAAGGATTTAAGAATAAATTTGAAAAATGAAAATATTAAATAACATAATAGTCATTGAAATAAAGTACTTTTCTTTGTATTCCTTCAAGAAAACGTTACTCTTATAAAATTATGATGACTTTTTTTTTTTAACACCAACTGATGTCATGTAGATGACACTATAGTCATTGAAATAAAGGATTTAAGGGTAAATTTGAAAAGTGAAAATATTAAATGATATAATAGTCATTGAAATAAAGTACACTTCTTTATATTCCTCAAAGAAAACGTTAACCTTATAAAATTATGATGATTTTTTTTTAACACCACTAATGTGACGTAGCACTCACTACTCATAGAAAAACCATCATTAAAAATTGAAATTGTTAACTTTTACTATTTATAATCCCACGTTGAAATTCTCAATAACCAATCCCGAATTACTGTATTTTGTGTTTTTGGAGCCTTGAAGTCCTCGATCACAGTCTCAACCATGGCACCGAATAGAGTTATCATGTGTGTTTAATAATGGTGTTGAAAATGCAAAGTAATTAATAGAACAATTTCATTGAGAATGTATCAAATTAATGTTTTCCATGTTTAATTTCAAACTCCAATCCAGTTGACCATAATACGAAATCTCTACCAATCATTAAGAAGACTCGAGAAGAAATGAATGTTCTAGGCATTGAGATGTAGACAAACTTTATGAAATCATTTAATGTTGTTCCAGCAAGAGATTCAAAAGAGAGTTTTGTTCACACCCAAAACGAAGAATCTAACTAACAATGATAGACACATTCTCATAGGCACATCTAATTTTTATTTATTAGATTTTAAGTTTAAGTTTAAAATTAGAGAGTTTTGTTCGCACTCGATATTCATTTTTATTTTTTAAGGCTTGATCGGAGCAGGTAATCGGATCGACTAGATTTGATTAGAATCAACGTCTTATTCAGTTTAATTACAAACCAGATCCTGCCTAGGCCTTCGGTCATCCCGTTGGGCTTGACAGCTATGGTTAGTACTTGGATACCATGTTATGGATTAGGATCCCGATCCAAATTGGTCCCTGTAAAATAGCCGATTGTTTGATCGAGTCCCTATCTATGTATAGGCATATGCATGTAGTGCTTTACCATGTTTCGCAGAACTAATCAACTAGTGTCAGCAATGCACCACGTATCTTGCATTGATGCGATGATAGATATAGGAAAGAAAATAAATATCCTATACGATAAAATATAAAGGATTAAAATCAAAAGTGAAGCACTAAAAATATAAGCAAAATTTAATAGTGCTAGTTTTATTGATAATTCTAAAGAATTTGATGCAAATACTAAGGATGATAATTTGTCCTACCTCGATAGAATTCCGTCCCAATTAATGTAGAAATTCATCGAGTTAATTAGGAAACGAGACAAGGTGTCATGTCTTGTATTGATTTTGAACGAGGATGAGGCATGGATGGTATTTACCTGCCTTACTCCTTCTTTTTCTTTTGAAATTATAATTATATCCAACATATAAAAATTTATCTTTTGAAATTACAATTATATATAAATTTTGAGATTATAAACTAGCTTTCAATATAATGAGTGAGTTTTGATTATCTCCGAACACTAAAAACATGTAAAAATTTATCTTTTTCAATTGTATTTGTGATATTTTATCAACTTAATTAATTATGTTATTTATTCAATTAAAAATTATGTAATATATTATAATTTGTGTTGTAAATTTATAGTTGAATATGATACTAAATAATTATATTTTTTTATAAATTATTATTTTTTATTATAATTTAAAATTTAATATAAAATGATACGAGATAAAATGGAATGCAACAAAATCAAGTGGGACCCTAGAGCGCCATCCTATCCCAATTAAAGAATGGAAATTGTAGGGAAAATATTGTCCTGCACGCAGCACAAGACGGGACCGAGCAGAGCTTGTGAGGGCGGGCACCAATTGCCTATATATATATATATATAGTGCTGTAAAGAGATTCGCATCTTCATGTCCTGCTATTCCTCCATCTGCCATGAATCACAAAATGGGCCTGGAAGAAAGAGGCATTCTATGAAGAAATTATTGAAAGAAAAACATATTTTTGTACAGTGTTTTGTGTGATGTGAGAGAAGAGATGTGTTTGCGTGTGTTGTTAGAAAAAAAAACAGTAACATGTGAGAGATGGGTCTGTAACTCTGTAAGAAAGAGACATTCCATGAAGAAATTATAGAGAGAAACAATGCTTTTGTGATGTGAGAGAAGAGATGTGTATCCGTGTGTGTGTTTTTTTTTTTTTTTTCGAAAGAAGGTGGATGAAAAGAAACGGTAACATGACGGAATAAAATAACCTTTCTTTCGTCTCTAAGAAACCTATGGGTCATGATCAACATGAAAGGTGTTCGCTTACTTTTGAAGAAAGAGGTTTAATGGCATTCTTTTACTTA